AAAAAAAAAAGAGCGTGGCCGAAATTATTTATTCAAACCAACGAGAACCGGGGCCAAACTTATTTCTCACTGCTGTGGCTGAAATCAATCATCAATGTCGGGACCAAGTTTATTTATCACTGCCGATGCCGAGCTCCTTCACTCTGAGTCGACGTCCCTATTTTGCTCGTCGTTGAGCCTCGACTCCGGCTGAGCCGACGTCCATATTTTGCTTGTCGTTGAGCCTCGACTCCGGCCGAGCCGACTCCATATTTTGCTCGCCGTAGAGCCTCGACTCCGGCTGAGCTGACGTCCATATTTTGCTCGCTGTTGAGCCTCGACTCCGGCTGAGCCAACGTCCTTCTCGCCGTTGAGCCTCGACTCCAGCTGAGCCGACATCACTATTTGCTCGTTGTTGAGCCTCGACTCCGGCTGAGATGACGTCTATATTTCCTCGCCGTTGAGCCTCGACTTCGGCTGAGCCGACGCCCTTATTTTTCTCGCCGTAGAGCCTCGACTCTGGCTGAGATGACGTCCATATTTCCTCGCCGTTGAGCCTCGACTCCGGCTGAGCCGACGTCACTATTTGCTCGCCGTTGAGTCTCGACTCTGGCTGAGACGACGTCCCTATTTTCTCGTCGTTGAGCCCCGACTCCGGCTGAGCAGAAGTCTATATTTTCCTACGTTGAGCCTCTGCTCCGTATTGTCCTACCGTCGGGCCCCTACTCCGGCCGCAAAAAAGAATTATCACAAAAAATCCGAGCAACAGCTCGGTACCGATGTAAACATTACGACACTCGGTCTCGCCGATACCCTGTAATCTATCCAAACCCTACGCATGCTTTGGTTGGGGTTGAGGCTCGTCCACGTCATTTCAGCATACATGATTTGACGGGTCCCGATAATCACCGAATATAAAATAAACAAATCGGTTGGGGCCATTCCATAATCGAACCGTGACGAAGTTCGATGACCCTTTTATAGCTGATGCCTTGTAATACATCCAAGTCCCACGTATGGTTTGGTTGGGCTAAAGCTCGTCCACGTCACTTCAGCGAACATGATTTGACGAGGTCTTATTGACAACCGAGCATACTTGGTTCGGTTGAGGCCGTTCCGTAATCGAACCATGACGAAGTTCGGTGACCCTTATTTTTTCAAACTCAGACACAGCCTGAACAGTGTCGAGTATTGCAAGTTCAAAACAGCTTGCTTGTCGGTTCTCCATACTACCGACTTTCCAGAATATGACATCAGACTCAGAAAAGGAATTCAGACTCGACAAAATATCGAGGTATCCTTATTTATCGTACATTAATCATTTACTGCACATGCGCACTACGCATCGGCATACTCAGTAATGCATTCATACATTCATACGCGCGTCACACATACATTCATTACATATGCGCATCGGACATACATCTTGACATCCAAATCAAAAGAATACAATAAACCAAACGCCTTCATCTGTTTGGGCCCACACTGGTTAGGCAAAGTCAATAAGACCTTCCCTACTGAGAAATATGCAAAAGAAAAAATCATTACATCGATTTCTTCAGCTCGGTATGATAAAGCCTTTACTTACACCAAGTTATTCAACTTGGTAAGGCTGATACCCATGCCTTTACCGAACTCTTCAGTTCGGTAGACTAAAATCTTTATTTTTACCAAGTTCTTCAGCTTGGTAGGGCTAGAAAGTCCGTTCGTAACCGAGTTCTTCAACTCGGTGGGCAAATATATCATATCGATAACATGTTTGCATAAAGATCGATAGCAATACAAGGGGCCCGAGTGCCCACATCAGCTCAAATCTATACTATTATGATCATTTCAGACGCAAATTCATCCAACGCGTCCTATTACACACGAAAACCGGGTACCAAATTACCCGACCAGGCCAACCAAGCCCATTCATATAGCATTTTCACATAGTTGACTATCCACGCAGTCGACTCCACTCGTCAGAACAAAAAACACGATTACCGTCAATACGACAGGTCAAAGCCTGGAACCGATCCACGAAACGTCTACGGGTCCCAAAGCACCCGGCCAACATCGATACATTATTTATCACAGCTAAATTGGCTATACACGTGACTTCAGAACAGTTCTATTCAGAACATGTCCTAAAGTCAAGGGCCTACTGTTAATACCCAATTTTGGCCTCGCCTATTAAAACGTGGATACGTATTATATCAATTGTTTTATTTTAGGGCCCACAAATAACACCGTTTGTAATAATAACGGGCCCACCAAATATATATATATATATATAAACCCCAATGATGGACGTCAGACAAATAGGTCTGAGGGGGCTATTATTACTTTTCTCTTCCTAATCCTCATTTTCTTTCCTACACATGAAGAAAACTTAATTACAGAGAAAACTTCTTCTTCAATTGGTTTACTGATTCAAGTCACAAAAATCCAATACAAACACTATGTTCTGAATACCCTATGTTGATCACAAATCACATATCAACAGAGAGCAACAAGTAAGTGTTGATGATCTCATGTTCTAGTGCCATAGAGCAACTCTTTGTTGGAAGTTGAGTGAACTCAACTGGAGGAACCAGAGAGACAACAACTGGAACTTCAATCATGGTGGTATGACATTTGTTCTATAAAAGAAAAGATGCAAGAACAAAGAGACTTAGTCTGGCAGCATGTGTACTTTAGTGAATTTGGAAAAATAGAAATGCTTGGACCTTCAACAGATTGAGATGATTGGAGTGGGATACAACAGACAATGCAATAGAGGAATGGTTAAAGTTGATGAGGATGCAAGAAGATTCAAAGATCACTACAACACAAAACCCAAAACCAGTGGTAACTCAGGTAGAGACTTTTTCCAAGGAAGTAATACATGTTGAGAGCTATGTCAGTGCTTCAATCTCTACAACAGAAATCATTGGAATTGGTTGTGTGGCAGAAAAAAATAGACATAGTTGTTCAGATGGACTTCTGCAGACTCAGGCAAGCAAACAGTCCATGAAAGATTGCTTCAGAATATTAAACGCACACTTTAGAAACTAGAGGATAACATGATTTGTTTTTTGTCTGATCATCAACTGATACTGATTTTACAAAGAAACCAAAAGTGCAACTCCAACTTGAAGAGGTTGATTACTGAGGCTTGCTGGTTGGCTGATTTTGCATTCCATTGTACATTTGCGTATGATCCGGGTGTTTGTAGTTCTAGTAGTAGTTTGACTTTTTTAGCGGTTGACGGTCAGTGACTTGAATCTGTTCGGGTGTTGCTTGGCTTGTTGTCTTATAAACTTTGTGTTGAGTGAAGATGACAATATGGCATACGAATTAAAAACGAGAAAAGAAAACAACACAAGATTTACGTGGTTCGGCAATATGCCTACGTCCACGGCGGCTGAGGGATCTTTATTATTCTCAATAGTCTCAAATACATCAATACACCATGTATTTATACTATAACCCTACAAGGTATTAATTTACTTAAATACACCATCAAGGGATCTTTATTTATACTATACTCCGCTCACTTCGCTCGGTCGCTCCGCTTCCCTCGCTACGTTCGCTCCGTTACGCTCGCAGGCATCAGCCTGCCTCCTTCCTTTGTCAATATATGAGCCATATCAACACTTTGCAATCTTTGTTAAGTTGAACATTCAGTTGTAACTTTGTGTTGAGTTGTTATTAATATATATTTGTTATCGTTGATTAAAAAAAAAAAAAAAAAAGGCTGAAGCCGAAAGTAGCCCATATTATATACGGGCGCCAACACAACTTTGGGCCTCTGGTCCAAACCCCATGTCAACGGGCTCCAGCAGCTGGTCAACCAGTGTTGGCCGCGGGTTTTCTAGCCCGTGTTTACATCCACCCCCAAATGATTTCGCTCGATTTTCACGTCACACGATAATCTAAAACCCCTTCGAAACGCAGTTAACTTAAACCCTAGCCGCCTTCCTCCGCCGAGTCCTCTCTCTCTCTCTCTCTCACCCACTCAGAGTTGCTGCAATACGAAAATGGATATTGATCAAAGCGGCGGAGCTGATGACGAGTCCTCCAGGCAAGTACAGGTCCGCTTCGTTACGAAGCTAAAACCACCGTACAAAGTGCCGCAAGCTTCTATCTCCATACCAGCCAACCTCACTCGTTTTGGCCTTTCTGCTCTCGTCAATAATCTCCTTCAAGCTGGTACCTTTTTTTTTTTTTTTCCAGATATC